ATTGCGAACTTCTCCTTGCCTCGTACAAAATCACAAAGAAATGAATAGAGAAGTAGTCGTGGCAATAAGCATACTGTATTTCCAGCCTTTTTGCCCCGAGTGTAATTATCCTTGCTCTTTGTTCTTCCACATCTTTGTTCCCTTTTTGCATTTAAATGAAAAATTCACGCCAAAGGAGAACACGTGATTCTGTGAAAATTGCTGCGTCTTCTGTGTACAATGTTCGTATTTCTTCTCAAGGATATGACTGCGGCCTTTTCACCTGTGTCCTTACGTATTCTATACAGGAAAATACTATATATTCACAATGTACGATATTTTCATCAATTAGCATTTAGTACGTAAATATTTTTCTCAACAAAAACGATAAAATGAATGCGAGTAATTTATATTGCTATTACTATAAATGATAATGTATTTCGAACAATATGTTTTGGAAATCAGGGTTCTGAATGGGTATCAGAATCAATGATAGTTTATTAAACTTTAGTTTGCAATATTCCTTTTGCCAGGCCCCTTAGTGCAATGGTTACGGCGACAGCAACTACTTGAGAGTTCGAGTCCAGACTTGGACAAGAATGTAGGCTAGTGTGGTGACACGTTGGAGCTTATTCCAACTACCATGTATCAACTTGAATGACCAATTCCTTTCCTGACCTCTCCCTGCCCGAATGGTGTACTGTACGAAAGTGAGAAATGAATGTGACTGACTGAGGTAGGTCAAAGCTCCGTAAAGGGATTTAGGGCCACACGTCACCTGACCGCCACCAAAACTTCCATCTCCTAATTGGGCTCAAGCTTATGAGCCATAGCAGTAAGCTCTCTACCGGACTTACAAGTCACAGCCGAGTTATAGAATGAAGGCTAGAATCAAGGGTATGGTTTAAAAAGTAAAAGGTATAAATTGGACGGTGTTATGCAACAATTGACCAAGCGCGAAAATTTGATTTCGAGATTTTAACACAAACGCAAAAGTATTAATATAAATTCAGCATCTCTCCCAAATTTTATTTTGTAAATGGCAAAATAATCAACAAGAATTAAATTGACGAGCTCATATCTTAAAAACATTAAAAATGTAGCGAAACTTTTCATTTGTGTAGAAATGGCATTTAGTCATTTGATGCTTTAATAAATAATTTTCGTATCAGTGTATTGCATTGTCTGTCTCCAAGCCAAATTATGTCTCTTATTCAAGTGATGCAAATTAGAGAAGAAAGTAGTGCCATTTCTTGCTGTAATATTTTAAGAGATACAATAAGATTATACTCGCGTATAATATATTTAATCGTAATTAAATGATATATAAAGAAAACACCATTACTATTGAACATTTTCTTTGCCTTTTTATTGAAGTAACAACTTGTTATATGACGTGTAAACCCCCTTTATACGATTAAGAAAATTAGGAAATCTTTCTAACGCAATATATCAACCTCTGCTGGAAAGGAAGAAATAATAATAAATGACAATATATTATAATAAAAGCACTCACTGAGTGTAAATATTAGTCTACGGGTTCTAGGGATTGAAAATAAACATTTGCTATGCGAATACATGTAAAATGCAATAAATAAATGAAAAATACATAATTTGACGTTTCACCATCATCAAGGAAATCACGTTGCGGGCTGTCAAAGCTGTCAAATGTGATCCTCGATATCAGAGTTGCTGAAGAGCTCGCGGAAAAATGCTAGTGCATCATTTGGTCTCAGGTTTATTAGAGATCGAATATCGTTTAGCTTGTCTCTTCAGGAATTGGTTTCCAGTTTGGCCAAAAAGGCGTCAGGAGGGCATGCAAATTAGTTGTGTTTTGCATTTGGAAAGATCGACGTGGTGTTCTCTTCTTAGTGTCAACATCAAATGATTCAGTATTAAATTCACTTTTGAACACTATAGTAAATGGATGGATAGTAAATGGATGATTGATCGTTAGTGATTCCTGGAGCGTCAAATACTAAAGTTATTAGTCCCGTAAGTATAGGGCATGTTTTTGCTCGGGAGTTGACGGTGGTCTTCCCCAGCTGTATGGCGAGATCCGGCGCTGGCCTACCATCGGCTAGTGGGTTTTTCTCCCATCTCTACGAACAGGGCACCGCCCCAGCAGGGACAAGCTCTAAGCTATCGACCGGTCACGTGTGGCAGTGTAGTGCATGCTAGTTTACGTGTGTTTACGTTACGTGTGTGTATGGGGTGAGGACAGAAACAAGAAGATGTAGGGAAGATCGCGCGCGGTCTATGGCCAGTTTCTTAACGTACTGCTCCGGCATTCGCCTGATTCGGAGAATGTAAATGGCTTGTCTTTAAGAGTTCTCTCTCACCTTCAGCCCGTTTATTTTTTCGTTTCGGAAATTGTTTTTGTGACTGTTTTCTTTTCAGTATGGATAATACTCTTGGAATGTTCAGGATTCATTCTATGAACTATAAGAGGACTACTTTTCGACATATTTTCATGACATTGCATGTAATTCTATGGTGTATAAACTCTCTATTGCAGTTTAAGAGCGAACTCTATATCTCGGAAATCGGTCATTCGGAAGTAAGCTGTTTCCAGGTATAAGAAGTCCCTGCCTTGTTCTCTTCAGTGTACGATGCTGAACTAAATCTGACTTTAGCATTACAACCATAAATAATACGTAAAAAAACTCTAAATACAATTGGAGAATTAACTCGCAATCACATACACACAATGCAGACCGCGGGCGGGAACAAAATCTTATTGCATCACGTGACCAAATGACGGTCATTTGTCGCATAGTCAACCGATACGAAACAAAACCGTAATATTGCGCGGTTAATCAACTGATACAAAATATAATTATTATAGTGAAGTTTTGGCGCTTCGTCCAAATTAGCATCCCGTCGATAAAAACCAAAATTCAATGCCAACCAATTTTTTAATATATAATAATATATTTTAATATAGTTCACACCTTCATGCACAACCTAATGCAAAAATCTAAAAAACGAAATGGCATTTGATCAATTGATGCATAACACCGTCCAATTGAGGGGAGAGTGCATCAATAGCTAACCGAAAGATTAAGATGATGTAACATGCCCGATGATGATGTTATAATACTCATTGTTTTATTTAGAAACATGTTTTATAGAATGCCAATAATAATATAAAAATCGGTATGAAAATAAATTTACTTGTAATACAATTGTATAGTTGAACTATATTACTGCTATGATACTGACTACTGACTGAAGTTATGGCACACAGCAGGAATATTCAGGTAGAAATACATTATAATGGTATGGGAACTACGAATTGATTAGTGTCATCCTGAGAAGTAATGTAAAAATGGGTGGACAGCTTCAAGAAGGTATATATCAGCAAGTGGACGCGGCTGACTTCAGATATAACCCGACGATGAGAAAGTCCATCCTCAGGTTAAGAAGACCAGTATATAAGGTGAAGGGATGTCTTCTTGCTAAGCACAGGAACCCCTTATTCCATGACCGAAAGGCTGGGTCACCGCTGGTTGGCTATGGCCCGTAGCGGGATGCCGAGCCAAGAACAGGACAGGACAGGACCCCGGATATGACGAAATAGAGCTGATCATAATGCACTTGAAAATTAGTAACTGAATTAGTGAAGTGAAAAAGACAGTTAATTGTTGCACAGAGTATAAGAATAAACGCATTTAAAATGTGTACTTAAAGTAACAGTTGCAATTTAACCAGTAATTCAATAAACAGTGAAAGACGTTTAATATCAGTAAATGATTTCTAATAACACAGGTTTAGTAAAGATTTTAAAGGCAGTACAGATCATACTGTTACCAAAATTAAACTAATTATTTTCACACAATACAGGTGCGCCATGAATTTGTATTATGAATCTCATAAAACAGTCTTTAGCATCATTATAAGTGCACTTTGTAAACCGTAACACGTGTGTGTACACACTCATACATACTTGTACATACACTGTCTTTTGGACAATTAAATGATCAAATGTGTCTCATGGGAGATAATTTCTTAGTTTTGTCAAAGACTACGTCTACCTTTTGCAGAAACAAACAAATAAAAACGCAAATTTGAAATTGGGATGCATAATACAATAGCCCTGTATTGTTGATTTTAGGCCATCAGAACCATAGTCTGCTAGTCGGCAGTCATAATTGCACTCTACTCGCAGTTCACAAATTACGCGAATGATCTCCCATGTTTACAACAGAGTTTAGAATACATATTGGGAATACGCATAAAGTTGCAATGAAATGGAAATGCGTCGAAATAGAAACATTACAACAAAATACCCCTGTCTACGGAAATCTACTCTTCCGAGGCCAACACGATAAAGGAACTATTCATTGCTAATATTATGAAAAACATTTTCATTTTTCTCCTGAAATGATTCTTTCTGAATAATTGGATGTGTTTATGCAGTATTTTAAAAATTTTATACAAAATGATTGTTGTACTGTATCATAAACCACTATGAAAAAAGACCTGGTGAAACGCTGCCGGCAGGCACATGCAAATCTCATGAACGTAAACAACGCACTGAATCAGGTACTTTCTATATACTCCCCAGCCGTCTAATCAATTGTTCAAATCGACTGTGTTTAGTGAAGAGCTAGCATTGCTTCAGGGACTGTGACTGGGAGATTCAGTGTTCAAGTCCCGACGGTGGCGAATATATTTCTAGATAGATAGCTTAGTTGAATTCATGTTTTGTCTCAAGGACAATTCTAGTGATCGGCTGCTGTTGATCGGTAGTTTTGCGTAGTTTGTCCGATCAACAACAGGCGATTATCGGAGCAGTACCCTAGCAAACGGGGTGTGGATCGCGCGCGATCTTTCTTTTCTCTTCCTTGTCCTCTCCTAGCCCGCTTACTTACACATTTACATGCTTTACTCTTCTTCACATATCGAGAGACCAGACGGAAGCTTAAAGCGTAGCCTCTTTGGGGGAGATACCTGGATCATCACCACCATCACCAACTTCTCTACCTCCATCTCCACATCTTCCTCTAGCACCACCGTCACCTCCTCCGCCACCACCTCACTTCCGCCTCTGCCTCCACCATCACAACTTCCTTCACCTCCACTATAACTACCACTTCTATTACCACCACCTCCATCTCCATTTTCATCTCTACTTCCCCGCCCACATCACCTTCTCCACTTTCACCTATACCACCTCTTCCACTTCCACCTATACCATTTCCTCCACCTCCATCTCCACCTCTACCTCTACCTCCAACACCACTATCATCTCCTCCGCTACCTCTTCCATTTCCATCTCCACCATTTCCTCTACCTTCACTACCACCCCGCCGACTTCCGCCTCCACCAGAACTACCACCACCACCATCTCCGCTTCCACCTCTACCACCACGTCCTCCTCCTCGTTCTCCACATACAACCTCAACACCATCGCTTCTAAAGAGAGTTCTCTTTCTATCTCCTCTCTCTCTCTCGAACCCTTGAGAACCATCTCTTCGCCTCCTCTATCTCCCTCCTCGCGTTTCTCGTCCGCAATCCCAAGCGCATCGCCGCGCGGTCCAGATAAGAGTAGGCAAACGCTGGCGGCGTCGCAGCGATGCTCACAGCATGGACGCCCCCAGGGAACGCCCGCCCCTCGCCCAGCGGCTTTCGAATGCGGCCCTCCGCCTTCCATTCACCCACTTTCACGTACGGCACTGGGGAACAGCTCAGCCCAAGACTACACCGAATTTGCTTTTTAAGGATACCATTCGCTAAAATGCAATGGTGTAAGCGGTTATTTCTCTGAGCAAGACTGTAAGTGTAGCGTTTTACAGATTTGATGTATTCTTGTATAGAATTTATTTATGAAGAATTTAAAATATTTTTTGATTTGATTTTGAAGCTTCTCATCTTCCTTTGCGATATGGAATAACTTCAGTAACATTAGGAAATTAGTTTAAAATTATATTTGATGATATGTGTCAACGTTTCTGGGAAGGTTTAAAGACCCGTGAATCGCCCCCATTTTCCCTTGGGTATGCCTCTGCTAAACATTTTAATATAAGGATTCAGAATTTGACTAGTTTTATGAACACAAAATTTCTCTCAATAAACCAAAATGATCTCATGAGTGATTTTTCAGTTCTGAGGAAGATAAAATGACAAATGAATTTTATTCAATATTTCATGTAGTAGTGCACAGTTTGAAATGTTTCAACATCATAGTAGGAATGCATAGCAGGAATAGTAGGAATGTTCATTTGAATTAAAAAAGAAAACATTATAAGCTAATTAATATAACCCGGATCCTAGGGTTTAAATTTAAATGCCCGTCACTTCACGTCGTTATTTTAATTCACATATTAATTTCAATCATTTCTGAACCAAATACGTGAATTCTTCAGTTGCTAAAAACGAGTAATGACCCTAAAAAAGCTAAGTCAGGATTTTTTAACAATATTTACACAAAGCTGGCATAAGAAAACTCATTTAGGTTGATCATATTTTTACAGTGGTCTGGACGTAACTATAACTTTTCAGCTTTTATTGCTACTAATTAGATCAATACTAATTTCCTACACTAAAAGAGACAATGAACGTGATTCACGTTGTTTTGTATATGGACCAGGGACGTGTTCCCCTGAAAGGTTTCAAAATGCAACATAATTCAGCTTAAACACGAAGATGAAATACATATATGGAGTTCTTCTAGGAAAAGAAATATCTGAAGAATTATCTTCAAGACTGAGAACAATTGCATCTATGAAGATGTATGAAGTACAGATTAGATTTTATGTTACATTGTGTGAAACTTTTCTCGTTTTCATTGTGCCTTGAGAGACAATAGGAAATCCTTCACTTTAGATGCTTTAGCACTATCCATAATTGTTCATTGCGATAGAGCAAATTAAAAATAATTTATGATTTAGACGCTAATTATCAAGAAAATAATAAGAGGGGGAAAATTGTTTTTTAAATTTAGTGTTTTTTTTAGAAAACGTTTTTTCATGTAAAGTAAAAATGGGAGTAAAAATATAAGATAAAAAAATTAAATGTTATTTATTGCAATTAATATTCATCCTGATAGTAGTATGTTAAGAAAACATGTTCAGAAGCTTAAATGGGCTGACCGTCCAAAAAACTTAAAATTAGTGTTAAAAAACTACTAATTCAAATCCTCTTTGTTGTTATTAGGGCTGTTCAAAAAATACCCGAACTGACGTCATAAAACAAAATGTATTTTACTACCAAGTTAGGGGTCTGGATCCCCTTCAAAGTACTCTCCTCCCCAACGCACACACGTATCCCAACGATGTTTTTCCTTGTTGAAACAGTCCTGGTACGCTTCTTTTTTATTGTCCCTCAGCGCCTTCGTCGCATTTGCCTTAGTCTCGGGCATCGTCTCAAATGTTTTTCCTTTCAAGGGTTTTTTGAGATTGAGGAACAAGAAAAGTCACAAGGAGCCAGATGAGGTGAGTAGGGAGGGCTGAAAAAAACGGTAATCGTGTGTGTGGCCAAGGACCTCAAGAGTTCGAAGGGCAGAATATTTTTTTTTCCATCATAACAATGCTTCAGGCCAGTGGCCACTCTTCCACATTTGTGGCCTTCTCCGTCGGATGGCGTCCCTCAGACATTTCAAAACTTCAATATAGTAAGTTTGATTCCCTGTGAAGCTTTCTGGGAGATACTCGTGAACAAACACTTTTATAATAAAAAAATATCAGCATACAATTGACCTTGGACCTTAAAATGGCGAGTTTTTTGGGTCTACGGGACGTTTCAGTTGTCCAGTGGGGCGATTGGACCTTTGTTTCAATGACATAACCATTAACCCCTGATTCATCACTTGTTATGATCCTTGACAAGACGTATTTATCTTCTTCTGAACGATCAAGCAGTTCCTGACAAAGCTGGACATTGTTGGAATTTTTGTTCCTCCGTCATCAGGCGTGGCACGAATTTCGCAGCAACACGGAGCGTCTTCAATTTTTCAGTAAAAAGATTTTCAGTGTCTCTTGTCAAGAACCAGCTGATATTCCATTATTCTCAGAAAGCTCCCTGACAGTCGTGTAATGATTGTAACTGTAATAATTGTAACTGTAATGATGGTAATCATACTTTTTAATATTCTATAGGAGCTTTGATCATGACGCATTCCACTGGGAAGTATCCGACTAATATGAATACTTAGGCACGGGGTTCTTGAACATGAGGTCACTCGCTAGCAGCCCCCAGTTTAAGAGTAAGCCCTCAAGGTGACCGAGTAGATGCATGAGCACAAGAAGGCCATTCGAAGCCTTGTGGCCAGTCATGTTTAGAAGGGAGCGTCACGTGCCAGCCAAGTGGAAGCGTATGATGAACAAAGCCCTGAGTACTATAAAATACGCCACGGCCCCGCCCGGGGACTCTCTGAGCTACGTTTACTTGGACGGAGGTCTTCCACATCACTTTGATGTAACTTGTTTTCTGTGTACCTTCATTTCTGTGTAAGTAAAGGACTCTTGCTTCGACATTTGCTAAAACATATTCTGTCTTTCATTTTCACTTGTGCTGATCCACCATCCTGCAGTCTTCTGAAGGGACTTAGCTCCCAAGGACCCATAAACTTTAAATAATTTGTAATATGCTTTTGCTGCTTTAACTGCGACGCCCTGCTCGCCTATATCATTGTGAGTGCAAGCGGGGCCTAGCAAGCAGCAACTCAAGTATTACAGTCGGACGTCGATTTGCCCTCACCAGGATGTTAATTTTGTCGACGTGTGAGTCGTCAGTTGACGTGGAAGGACGTCCAAGACCCTCATCTTCTTCAATAGACTGTGCACCATCATTAATACGTTGATGCCCTGGAAACTTGCGTATGTGTCGTAGCAACATCTCTCTGAACTGTATTCAGCATGGCAAAAGTTTCTGTCGCAGATTTTCCTAGATTAACATAAAATTTCACAACAACTCGTTGTTCGTTGAGGTCGTTCATTTTGAAATCGTCGTACTTCACTAAAAGCCATGTAGCTAATAAACAAATAAAGATAACAATTTGAAAATGGCGTCATAATTAGCATATTTTCGCAAACATAGCAACATCAAGCGAATTCCTCTGGGATTAAGTGAGACCCACAATTCAAACAGAGCGCGAATTTTTTTGAAGAGACTATGTAATACGCTAAGAAAATATTATGATTTTTACAATTTATAAGAAACTATCGACATAAAGCCCAATACATGGCTGTGCTGGATAGGGAATGATACCTCCCTCTGAGTCCCCCATCAAAGAAATATAACACGAAAAATAAATAAGTTTGCTCGTGAGTTTCCTCATTATTCATTTAAAGTTGTTATTCATTTAAAATTGGAAAAGCCGCGAAATGATCTGAAGCGATCCCTCGGCATTAATACATAATAAGTCTGCCTTTGAATTGTTGCGGTATAGGTTGTCACAGTTTGTAACTATGTTCTTTTTATCATTAATAGGTCCATGTATTTTTTGACAATCACCTTTTCTTTTATTGTCTAAATTTAAAAAAATTAAAACTCTATTTTAAAAATGTTTAACTGCTCATAACGTTTCTGAGGTTGGCATTATTTCTTCCGTCTTCAGATTGTTGACATAAACAACCACATATTAGACTAATATATAATCAAATATTAGGAAAAGTACACCCAATTAATTTTTTGTAATTACCTAGTCCGGACGTCGCCACTCGTAGGTACTATTTAGTTATACAAGAATGTGGATGTTGGGCAGTAAGAAATAACTAAAGAAAAATATTTTCAAGTATAATAATGATAAAAAAGTTTCAAATTGACTTGTACAATGGGGTGGGATCCAGTGGGGGGAAATGTAGTATTCATGGGGGGGGGTATTAATAAATCCAGTGGGGTGGGTAATAAACAGGTATGATAAAACAGCTACTAATTGGCTATGCCTAATGTGGGGCACATTATATTAAATATTCATATATATTAACACAGTTTCATTATTAGAATACTTTAAAAATGTTTATGCTTTCAAATGCGAAGAAATTGAAACTTTCTTCACTTCTTATTCGTACGGTCTTCCCCATGGACAAGTTAAGTTTTGCGATCAGAATTCTGTTATTTGCAAACTTATGTTCCAGTAATATATATTTTTCATGAATTTTCTATGTACCTAAACCAAATAATGCGTAAGCATTCTTTAAACTACTAAACTAGATATTGATACTTGGATAATACAAAGGAAATAAAAACTCTAGGGGTCACCAATATTTTGAATGTCTTGAATAGTTATTACTTCCTGCAATCGTTCACGAGCTTAAAATTCTCTGCCTCGAGTGTTATTCGGGAAAACAAAAGAAATATATTCAAAATAGAACAACAGTCGTGCTTGAAAACGAGATTTTGTACGACTGGAATTATCCTGAAAATGAATTCAAAAATCGATTAGTGGCAGGACGATCGTCTCATTATTGTGTTGGTGCACGTGAAAAACAAAAAACAAATGTCTTCCGCTAACGTGCAGTCTGTCAACGGCTCCTGTGTCCATTCCGGCCGGCGTGGGGCAGCGGCTCCCTGCGAAAACTTTCCGCTTCGGCAAGGACACCGCGAGACTAGTCGCAGTCGTTCGTACGATCACACTCTCAGGTTTTCCATGTTCGCCCATGACCTACATTTGGTAAGCAATTTTTCTGCTACAAATCCTTGGCACTACTTGTGCAATCACACAAATACACACACACACACACGCATAAAAACACTGGCATGGCTATACTACTCGTGAATATCGTATGTGTAATTTCGTTGGAATATTGTTACACATGTAAATTTCTGCGAAATATAATTACAATAGGATTAATTAAAGAAGAACATCGGAACTGATTTCCCTCAAAACAGTGTTTGGAAATAATCTCAGAAATAAGATGGCAAAACCAAAATATGTTTTAAGTGTGAAAATGTTGAATTATTGATCGCGTACTTTTAATACACACATACACACACACAGATTATATATATATATATATATATATATATATATATATATATATATATATATATATATTGGCCCAGATACAAACATCGACAGAGGAGAAAAATTCAGATACCTTTTTTTTTTATTTTGTTTTCTTTTTTAGATACACAAAAAGAAATTTACTTTGAGCTGCTGTTTGCAGTTTAGAGCTTCCGACAACACTGTCCGATGCGTCAAAGCCGCAAGTGCTGGTGTCAGCTTGAGTCACGAGCGAGGAGCGCGTCGATAGAACACGAACGCCGCTTGGCACTCGCCCAGCCGCGCAGCGCTGCGACTTGGTTCGATGGCCGCGATGAGAGACGCTGCAAGAATGTTGGACGTACTACACGTGAGAATTTTCAATGACCATTGTAACGGGACAGTGGACAAATGGTAAACTAGTGGCGCTGCAAGAGTATCTTGAGCACACGTTTTCTTGAGCTCCAGAATACCTACCCCCACTCCTTTGCCAACATTAGGTGAATTAAGAATAAATGAGAGCTAAGAGCGATTTAGGCAAAGTCTGATAACCAAAAATGTTCGCTCCTGTGTAATAGAAACGATTTTGCGTGGAAAAACGAACGCATGAATTTGATGTAAAATTTCTTTTGTGAAAAAAAGCCAAACTCCCCACTTCTCTGGCAACTTGCGAAGCGAGGGCTCAAGAAAACGTGCGCGAATAATACATATTCATACGTTCTCGGAATATTACGTATATTGCAACCCTTTCTGGATCTCTTGAGAAAACTAAACGAATCGTGAGATATTCGAAACTAAATGTTCTACAAGAGAACGTTATTTCTCACATTATTATTGGTAATGTAATTTTATAATTCCGCTGTTACTTTCCGTATTAACACATTTCAGCTATCACTTGTAAAACAAATTACCAATCGTAGCGCATTAGGTGGGGAAATTAATTATTTTAAAGCCAATACATCAACACAAATTCGACTGCCTTCCATAAACCAACAATGAGAAGCTATTCTAAAAATTTGAAACTGCCGTGTTGCAACGTTGCCATTGTCGCAGTATTGCAACATGCTATGCGCAATATTGCGCAAGGTGACATGTCGCATTATTGCGACTTGTTATCTCGCGACTCTCTTTGACGAAAGGAACACGAGTAAACAGAATTTTCAATTTTGAAGAAAAATGACGCAAATCTTCTCACATTTTCAACAAAAGCATAGCATTACCTTCTTTAAACAAATTATTTTGTAAAACAGATTTCATGAAGAAAAACATATTTATCATCAAAGGTACTCTTGGAATGTTGATTTTTTGCAATTTTCGTTAGTACGGAGAGTTCGTTACACACGAAGATAGTGTTTAAAAATCCAAGTTTTGAGCAATTTTTCTGAAAATATTTGTTCAAATACGGACGTATTGATTGAATAAATAAATCGTAAAGCCCATATTGCTCGGAAACTACTCATACATATAACGCGAAAACTATTCATATTTTCGATAAAAATTGACATAAGTTAATTTAAAGATGGTTTTAGATGAAAATATTTAATTAGCCAAAAAATCTCTATTTTAAGTACTATAGTTGAAGAAAGACTCTGGAAACGTTTTCAATTTTGAGCTATTTCCAAAAATGTACAGAAACGAACAAATATGCGACCTGCGCTATTTTTTAAGTTTTTTAACCTCCACCTTTCTTTATTTAAGAAGGAAATAGGAAAATAGTGGAGATTTTTTAAAAAACAATTCAGATCATCAGATCCATCAATCTCCTCTATTTAACCAGATAATGAAAACAACGCATCCATGATGAACCATTCTTCAACCATTATATAACGATAATCAAATGAAGTTCTCTACCGCATAGACTCAAATGAACACACTCTGTGACAAATTAAACTCCGTAAATAAAGAGTGGAATAATTTCCAACACCGCAAAGCCCAGAGAGGCGCACAGGGTTGGAGAGCGTGCTGAAAAAGGACATGGGCGTAATCCACGCACTGAGCGGGCTGGCGAGCGGGCGGGCGCTCAGGAATCCTGCGCTCATAATAAGCGTTTTTTTGGGGGGGCCGTCGCCGCCAGCCTACCGCGGTGGGTGCGGGCACAGACTCGCTCCACCACCTGCCGCCCTCGCGGGGCGGCAACCGCGCACCGCCCCCTGAGACGCGCCACAGCCACAGTGGGCCCACGTGAAGACGAAGACGAGCAAAATTGTCTATTCTAGGGGTGGGAGTGTTTTGATTAATGTATTGATTAATGACTAAGAATGCGTGAACGGCTAAGATCGTTATTCCCGTAAGTGTAGTCCATGCATGGAGCTGTCGCTGATTATTCCACGCTGATTGTCAAAATCTGTCGCCGACCTACCGTCGGCTAGCGGGATTTTCCGCTAGCCAGGTATCTCCCCCCAGCGGGGTACCGCCCCAGCCGAGACAAGCTCTAAGCTCTCGACCGGTCTCCCGACAAGTGTGGTAGTATTGAGCATGTACGTCTAAGTGTGTGTAAATTAAAGGAAGAATAGGACAAGAAATGGGAAGGAAAGATCGCGCGCGGTTCGTTTTGAGAGTACCGCTCCGGTGTTCTCCTGGTGTTGATCGGAGGAACCACGGAAGACTACCGATCAGAGTAGCCGTTCGCTAGAGTCATCCTCCTGACAGGGGCTGAACTCGGCCTAGCTATGTAGCTAGAGCTAGTGTCTAAAATCTTGCCACCGTCGAGACTCCAACCTAGGATCTCCCGGTCAGAGGCACTCTAGAAACATCAGTGGATGCCCTGAGCCACCTCTCCCGGTGGGTGAGAGTGTTTAGTGTTTCCGGGCGCTTCAACTACTCTCGACATTAGACTCGTAAGTACACTTTATGCAGTAACTTGAGAGATCGCGGTGTTCCTTCCCCTCTGGGAGTTGAGATCCAGTGTCTACACAGAGGTTGGCTTTCGGGGGATACCTCCCTTTGGGTAACTCTCCCTGGCGACGACCTTAGACAAATAAGTTATTGATGAGACAAAGTCAATCAAGAATTGTCTTTTATTTTCTTTATACATTCGTCTTGCCTTTGCGCGAGTTCTTTTTTATACTCAATATGATTTTCTATAGTTGGATGCCTCTTATATTTTGGGCAGGAGTGTATGCACAATTTATGAGCATTTTTGCAGTCTTCATTTCACCAAGGGAGTAGTTTCCGTACTGGTTTTCCTGACGTTTTTGAAATTGTTTCACGGGCTCTTTTGAGGATGAGATCAGTCAGTTTCTCAATTTTTTATTGAGGAAGATTGAGAAAATTTCTTCTAGTATGCTAAGTTCATTTATTTTTATTGATAATATTTCCTTGTACCTGTCAAAGTTATTTCTTGGAATTTCCATATTGGAGAATAGTTAACGCAGGCAGCCACTGAGGTATTATTATGGTTAGTTATGAGAATGGGAAAATGGTAGCTTCCATGTAGGTCCTCTATGGTACTCCAGTCCTATTTAGAAGCAATAAAAGAAGAAGACATTGTAATATCAATGGCACTGAGCCTTTCTTCGTTGCTATTGTTGTGAAGCTAAGATCGTGTTTGTATACATGAAGTATAAGCAAATTAAAACTTTAATGAAACTACATGAAATTGGTTTCTTTTATAAATTAATTTAAACCTTCAGTGTCAAATTTAAATTGTTTATTTACTTTAGGATAAATATAAAAATATAAATATTGAAGCAACATTTCCTATTTGCGCAGAAAATGAAAGTTCATTTCCAAATATTTTATTCATCTGAACATTGTTTTCTTTATTGAAGTTTCAGGGAAATATTCTATTTATGTTTTATTGCCTTATAGTTATTTTTATTGCACAATTATCTTTTAGCCCTAGATACAATTTAGTCCAAAATGAATCAGGTTCCCAGAATTGCTCAGATTGTGCATAAAATTAAAAATATGTTGTTCATTCTGCTAATGTTTCAGAATATATAATTCCACCCTCATTGATAACTCAGTTTAAACAAGAATACTTAGTTATTTACAAATTGATATCTATACCCACACGTAAATTATCAACATTGGCATGAGACAACATTGTATTCTAATGCATTGTCGAAGATTAGTCTAATCTTATTGTCCCACACTAATGGGCAATACGTTGCACGTGAACGCTGTTCACAATGATTACATATCAGAACGTTTGATTTCTATAATTGAGTACGATCTGAAACTTGTATTTTATAAAATTTTATTTATTATTTCTCTTTGTCGTTTTCGAATTGTCGTTTCTCAAACCTCGGCAAATTGATCATGTATTATTTTAATAATAATATCAATCTCACCAATATCTGCGAATCTGCATCATTAATAATTGTAAATAGTATTATTAATGGTCGTGAAGCACACCCAACGTTCATCTTGCAGGCAATTATTGTAAAGTGAGGGAAGAAAATAAGGGTATTCTTTACGGAGGTTCCTGAATTTACATTAGAAACAGTACCGGTCTTCTCTTCTTGAGGTAAAACTACTAAAAAATGTACGTAATATAACAAACTCTCCACATTTATCTAAATAAAAGTTACGCACATTTAGCTTTATCTCATTTAATATTTTCTATTTGCACTTCAGACTCATTTACATATAATGTAGTGTTTATAAAATATTGCATTCCTTTTGATATAGAACGCAGGTTTAGAAAACATCGAACATTACTTCCTGATGAGAGCAAATTCAACTGGTACGCCAGTTGAGATGTTTAAAGGTAATTGAAGTGTCTCTGACGGGCAGTCATAGGGATCCATTCCTGACTTGCTAGCGTTGCCAAAGACAGTTATTTTGCGGCCTTCCTCAGGGCAAAGTGCGGACCGAAATTAAAGGCGGGCGCAATGTCGGCATTTATGTCTTGGTCGAGGAGGCTCCAACTAGCTCTTGACACCGGCCGCGCAAGATTAAGCTCTCAAAAAGAAGTTACCTAGTTAGCTATGTTGATTTCTGTCGCTGTCTGGAAGAGAGAGGACTGGCTGCTCTGATGAGTAACTTCCCGTGTCTTCTCCTATCAATACCAGGCGAATCCCGGAAACGTACCCTAAAAGGGCCAAGGACCATGCGATCAAGGACCACATGCGATCTTCTCTTCTTATCTTTTTCCTTTCTTCTCCCCTTACTCTTAATCCCACTTTCATTTGCATGCATATCCCGGGAGACAGATAGTGCTGGGCTGGGAGAGTGTTCCGCTGGAGGCGATATCTCCTCTGCCGATAAGCCGATCTGTACGTCGGCGTCGAATCTCGTATTCTAGAGAGGATAGAACACCGCTACCTGCCGCATTACAACACGCACTTCACTTCCCCAACTAATGACCATAGCAGTTGACGCGCACGGAAACACAACATAATCAACTGGTGCATCCTCATCCTTTGGTCACAGCATTTTGCGTGAATGCACAGCACGCGTTTGAAACACTCACGGGCAGTCGATTGGGTCGGTCTTTCGTGAACTGATTGTTGGATTATTAGTTAATTCGAGCGCATCAACTGCTGAGGTCAACATTCCCGTAAGTGTAGTGCATTATTTCATCGGGAGGAGGCGGTGATCGTTCGCTGCTGGATGGCGAGATTCGGTGCCAAACTACCATTGGCTAGCAGGGTTTTCGCTAACCAGGTGTATCCCATCACTCTCCCAGGCGGGACAAGCTCTTATCTCCCAATCGGCCTCCCGGCACGTGGGGTAGTGTAGTAGAGTACTCTGTTTGTTAGGGTACTTCTCCGGCATTCGTCTAGTGTGATCGGAGAAACCACGGGAAACTACTGACCAGAGGAGCCGACCGCTAGAATTCTCCTCCAGACAGCGACTGAATTCGATCAAGCTGACACGTCATTGTCGAAAATCCTACCGCCGTCAGCGCTCGAACCTAGGACCTCACTGCCAGAGGCATTGCAGTGATATTAAGTTGATGCCCTGAGCAACCTCTCGGTTCGTCCTTTCATCGGATGCACCCTCTCTGTTTCGGACCAGTGTGCTCGCCTCCTCTGCTGTGGGCAGCAGCGCCGACGCCCCACCACTCTGCCGACAAAGCCGTCGGCTGTCAGGCTCGAGACCAAGGAGGGTGGCGACGGCGCACATTACGGTGTTTCATGTGGGAGCAGAGGTCTTCTACGAAGCATTCACGAGCACGACGTGGAATCGTGTATGGCATAATTATGTGAACAAAACCCTGACAAAGGTTTAGAAGAAATATATAGTAATTTGATTTCTTTCTCACTTGACAAATGTTTTATCTATTACTTTATTAATACGTTAGAGAGAAACAGAGAAATAATATTTAATTTTCAAATTAATTTCTGTCCCTGGAAATTGTCATATTCTGTATAAAATAAGCAGCCTCAGTGTAATCATACATATTAACAGGAATTGATTTTTTAAAGTGTGGTTTACATGTCATTTTATTCCTCCAATTAGTTTAGACGATACGATTGTTTTCCAAACGTTTCATTGAATTATCACAAAGATATATTTTACCAGTGTGTTTACATGGGTATTTATTTTGAGAAAAATTAGTGTTAAGATCCAAACACTAGTTTCGTCTTTTCGACAGATACGTAAAGACAGGAATATAAATACTGAAATATATAATATTTTGGTAATACATCAGTCTCGCAAAACAACTTTTTTTTTAAACCTACAATTCAAGAATAGTCAAATGAACAGTTAAACGTTTGTTTTCGTTTCTTTTCGAAATTTTTTTGGATTGTGTGGCAACTCATTCTTTAGTCCATGGATCATAAGACATTCTTGGAACTAATTGTATCGCTCGGACATTTTTTACTTGCGTACCTCTGAAGCAGTTATTAATTATTCGAAAAAATAAATATTAATTATCCGAAATTGATAAACACGTAAAACATGCGCCAACAAAGATTAAACAAAAATTGCTCTACATGACTCCTCACATGTCATCCAGATGATGGCACGGAGCATAATAGCTGTCATGACACTCGAATTTCAAGATTTGTACGAACTTTTAGAAACTTCCCGCGTCTTCTTCAAGGCTTTGAGAAGTAGTAGAAGCGTGAAGAAAAACCGTTGCAATAGGGCAGTTGTAGAAGATACGCTTATCTCTGTGGCAAAAAGGCTTTTACCCCGTCAATGCTCGTAAAATTCATGTGAGTTACTGACGGTCGACAGCAAATAAAGAAGATAGCTGCCCGCATGAACTTACAAGAACTCAAATAGTAAATGTAGGCTGGTGATATCTATTACTATTCCTAAGACTCTTGGAGCCTACCACTATAATACAATGGTTTTATGTACCGTCAACATTTTTTTGTGTATGAGATTTATATACGACTTTTCTTTTGCAAGAAATCGTTGATAATCAGGTATTTTATGTCATAAATCATGATATATTAGAATTTTAGGACACGAATGATTGCGTCATCACAAGTTGAGCCAATCGTTGAAAGAGTTGCGCGGGGAAGTAAAGGAAAAAGGAACAGGCGACCACTGTTTTCTCGCAATCAAAAATTTAATTTTGATTCTTTTATACATTTATAATGCTGTTATACAAAAAAACTTGCATATGCAACTCGTTTATAAAGTTGATTTATTGCATTTGTACAAATTTTAAACCCCCAACGTCGTTTACGCCCCCAACGTCACTCGTTTTCAAACTTTGCACTTGTGTACGAGTACTAAAGCTTAACATTATAAACTAATTGTGTATACTACTATTACTGTATTAATTATACGATTCTTCAAGCTGTAGCAACAGATATTAAGTTGCTGCCAATAAAAATGTCCTGATGGTCGATCTTCACATTAATATAATGAGTCAAATGCTATCGTAAATTCAAGCAACGGTTTTCGAAACTTTAACATTACATAGCATCGTAGGCTTCCACAGCCGGAGTCAATGGAAGGTAATTTTTCCGAGATGGTAGGCCGTGGTCTGATTGGCACTGAAGGCCAACATTAACATTAACATGAATATTAACACTTATTTTAACAATATTCGTAGTAGTAACTGTAAAATAATGTATAAAT